AAAAAATTTAATTTTTAAAACATGTCTAAAAAAATCCCAATTACGATAAACCAAACATAAATAGCAAAAGAGTAAACATTATAAAATCCAATACTTTAAAATAAGGCCCATGTTATCAAAATAAAGTCAACTCGAAAGATAAAACATTACAATAAGATATACTTTAAGAGATATGTTGATCCTCCAAGTGCTCGATCAAGGGTATCTAACCAACAATATCTGAAAGGGAAAAACATTTTCGAAAAGTGAGCTAGGCTCAATGTGTCCCAACATTACTATAAATCATGATAGGTACACTAAACAAATCATAGTACAGTAAATCTCATAAAATTATACTGCAGTAAATCTCATAAAAGAGTTACCCTAAGGGAACATCTTAGAGCCTGAGAGCCTACCCAAGATAGATTTTGGGGTCGTGGGGCCTACCTAAAAACATATCTTAGAGCCGCAGGGCCTACCCGAGAATGATCTCAGGGCCGCAGAGCCTACCTAAGAGTCACATTATGTCCGTAAAATTTTCCAGCTTGATCAGAGCTGTACTTTATAAATTCGTATTCCAAAAATTCAATTGCACCGTGACATAAATTCCATAAATCCATAAACATGGTAATCATATACCATTTCAAAACAAAAATCAGATAGCAATCATAATTCATAAACCATCACATTAAATCGGTGCATCAATAAAACAATAACCATAGAATTCAGTGTACCACATATTAAAAAAAACAAATAAAACAGTTCAGTAATAAATAGAGAACACACCTCGATAATAGGTTCAAATAGTAGATCTACTGATTGCTAGTCTCGCCACGCTCTGCTACAGTTTTCAAACCTAATTCATAATAACACTCTATTACTAATGGGCAACATAATTAATTTCTGAAACCATAAAATTTACGGGTCTTACGGGTGAATACTGACACACGTGATTTAATTAATCTAGAGGAGTTTGGTCGAGCTGTCGAACGGTCATGAGAGTCTCTTGTACCTTCAAACATTAATAATTTATCAGTCCCAAGTCTTACTCAATCATTCAAAGCTGAAACTCTTAAGTACATAAGCATTTTTCGGGTTTGACTATCAATTTGGAGGCTTTCGAGTCTGAATTTGACCAAACGGATTACGGAATCAGAATCAGGACGTCGAAAAACATAAAGTATGACTTTTCGAAAATTCAAATTCTTGGTCAAAATCAAAGTCAACAGGTTTGACTGATGATTTGGAGACCTTCGGTTTCGAATTTGGCGAAACGGACATCGGAAACGGGTTCGGCACGTCGAAAAATATTAGAATAAGTATACTCGAACAAAATCAAAGGTCGCTTAATGGCCGGTTAAAGCCGGTCAAAGTTTTGGTCAAAAGTGCTCAATAGTCCACAACAATTATTACGAAAATAGCACTATTTTTAAAAATAATTACCAAAATATCACCATTTTAAAAATAATTACCGAAATATCACCGGGTCAGGTCGGGTCAACGGGTCGGGTCGGGTCGGACCGGTTCGGACCGGTCAAGCCGGTCAATATATAACACCCCCAATTTGAATCTTCCCCACATGCAGGGGCGGCGCGTGGGGGCGCGTGAGGCCTCCTCCGGTCTCAAAAAATTTCTGAAAAAAATTTCAAAAATTCTTTTAAGCGATTTTGAGTCACTTACCAGCCTCGGTTCAAATTTTTGAACGGTGGAGAGCTCGATTTCAACTCGGCCGAATCTTTGACCGCTTCACCTCCCACACAAGCCATCGCCTACGGAGACAAGGAGGACACCGTCGGACTTGGAACGACACAATGAACACGATGGTGAGGGAGGTGTCGAAAACCAATCAACGATCAGAGATGAATTTAAGATTTTCTCGGCGGTGGCGCTAAAAAAACATCGAGACTTTGACTCAAAATTCACGTCGTTTGGCAGCATTTTGCTATAATTGGTTTACTGGGTTTTGTTCATGGGTCGAAGATGAACACGACGGTGGTTTCAATTTTACGATTGGAGCTCGGACGACGTCGTAATCGAGCTTGAAAGTAAAGGTACGGGAGGAAGAAAGTTTAAGCAAATTAAGCATGTGTTTTCTGATTTCAATCAGAAAACACGCTTATAATACAAGCCCGTCGACACTCCTTGGAGGAATTCAGGTTGGTCCCTGAATTTCCTTCAACTTCTAAAATGACCTATAAGTTTTGAAAACTTTTAATTTAGTCACCAAATTTCACCAATATAAATATATTTTTTTTCTCTCGTTTTTCCCGGTTGTTACAATGGGTTTACAATAACTAGTTAACATAGAACTACATTGAACTGGAAGTTAACCTATGCGTATACTATTGATAGCCACCCAGCAGTGCAGAAGACTTCAGAAAACCACATTGTCTGTTTCTCACAGTCAATGAACACATTAATTTAGAGGAATAAACCAATTTTCAATGGAATTTAACTAGAAACATCTGTGGAAAATGTAAAGTCTTAAAGAAGAAGTCTTCCCACTTAGAATTGCTCCTACCACTCCTCCAATTGTCGTTATTGAACCAAAAACAGAGTACTGCAAATTGGTGAGAAAGATTACAAAGGGTTCATCAATTTTTCACAAATATTCATGTCCAATCTATTTGTCACGCACCTAAATCATAGTAACATAACTTACCTTCAAGTTTCTTGTGCTTTAAGTAAGTGGAAGCTTATCGAATGCATGAGTTTTTGTGTTTGTAAACAAATAGAAATTGAAAGCAAAAATTATAGAAGAGATTGGGGAGTACTAACTGCTGGTACAGAGAGGCCCAAATCTTGCATGATCCCGTTCTCCGCTGGTAATGAGTAACCAACCTGGGTCCATTTTCAAAGTTAGTTCATGAAGGTAGCAAATACAATCATCTATGGTATGTTTTCATTCAGTTTTCCCCAAACTTGTATCACATCTTCATGTTAAATATGAAGAAGAAAGTAAACAACTTACAGAACAACCATAGCAGAAAGAACCACAAACAGCAACAAACGTTCTGAAGACGAGAAGAAGTGTCAATGAGGAAGCAGAGATATATTGTCAACACAAAGAAATATGGATTTAACATGAAGACGATGTTAACATGAAGAGATATGATGTTAATATAAAGAGATATAATATTAACATGAAGACAAGTTCGTTTCTGAAATTTTTGTGGCCCTAAGGCAAACTTAAAAAGTAGACATCTAATCATAAATATTTAAAAGAAAAATTCTACAAAGCTCGTCGAGCGTAGATGAGCACTGTTAATGATGAGCACATTTAAATTAATTTAAAAAAATTAAACTATAAAATATTAAACGTATAATTATAAATTAGTTAAAAATCTAAATATAATTTGATTAAAATATAATATTTATAAAACATTAGTTTCAATAATCTTATTTTAATTATAATTAGATCAAATATTAATTTGGAGAATTTATAAACCATAACTTAATTTCACAGCTTTATAAAATATTAGTTTTATGAATATTGTTACATTTGGATTTTTAACTAATTTATAATAATATGTTTAGTACTTTATAATTTAACGTTTTATAAATTAATTTAATGGTACTCATCATTAACGCTGCTCATTTGTGCTCGTCAAGCGTGACATCATCATATTATTTAAAATCTTTTAAGAGAAGACAAAAATAAATTACTAATTTACTTGTAAATTATGTTTTTATTTTGCTCATAATAAATATATTAAATTTCAAATAAAACAATTCCAAAAAAAATATTAAACACTCAACTACTCACAAAATAATTTCTACGAATATTTTTAGATGTACTATTACTAATAATAGTGTCTATATCAATATGATCAAATATATTTTTATCAATACATAAAATGGCTAGATCATCCAACTTTTCTTGTAACATTAACGATCTTAAATAAGTTTTCTACAATTTTAATTTTTTTTCAACAAATAGAAGTGTCATTGCGTTTCTTTAGGGAGACATGATATGCAAAAACCATCAATATCGTTTGTTAGTGCATCTAAAAATATATAAACTAAGTTTGCTCGACGCATCTCTTTGCAAGTGAGATATATTGGTAACATAGTCTACTAAGGGGTTGTTTGGTTCGGGAAATGTGGGATTCCCATGGGAATAAAATCCACATTCTCATGTTTGGTTGGTTGGGAATCTCATTCCCAATAATGTTTTATTATCAATAGTAGATTTTTTTGGGTATATTATCGGGAATGTCATTACCTCAATTTCTTTAGGTATTGTTGGATTACTAGCGTTGTGGACTAAAATGCTCTTAAATTTTTTTTTCTTCAAAAATATCATTCTTCTGTCATTGAATAATAAAAATTATACGAAGTTTAAATTACAAATTTATTCTTAAATTAGTTTAGATTTACAAAAAAAATCTATAATTAAAATTTTATATGAAGTTCAGTGATTAAAATAAAATTTTAGCCTTTTATTAAACCTTTTTATATTTTCAATTTTGTAAAAAATTTATATAAATTTTATGAATTTAAATTTTTTAAAGAAAATATATAAATATTTTCCAACTTGTTTAAAAAATATATAATAAGGACAATTTGGTCAAATAATCCTATTCCCTTAACCAAACACAAAATACAACATTCTCAATAATCATATTCCCTGGTAATCTTTTATTCTCACTGGTAATCTTACAAACGTTCCCTAAATGTATTGTTTCATGGGAAACAAATTTAAAAAATATATATATTTCAAATAAATCTTAAAGGAGAATAATATAGTATTTTAAGGGAAACTATTTTAAGGAATATAAATTTGATGTTTTAAAGGAAGTGCTTTCAACGATTGTATTTCGAAAGAAATAATTTCAATTGAGATTAAATTTTCAAGAGAAATAATTTTCAAGAGATAGTTTTCTGATTTATATGTAATATATACGATTGCCTCATTCAATATTCTGAAAGAATTTTAGTTTGTTCTGAATATTAATTTGTAGAGTTGGAACTCAAAGTAGCACAGAAATTGTTAGGAAAGTAAACATTGTTTTCCATCAATACCGACTCTTTTCTAGACTGGATTGACCATTTAAGTCAGAGATGAAAAATGCAATTCATCATATTCATCACACTAGTAGACTACATTAACTACATAGTACATACACTTAGATGCATTTCAGACATAGGTATGAGAACACGACTCTGAATAAATCCTCTAAACACAAATATTTGGAACATATCCGTGTTAGATGCATACTCGACTCCAACGATACTCGCACTCAACTCCAACTACTATAGCTAGAAAGCGAAATGACTTCAGATCCAAGGAATATGGCTGCAAACTGAGCAGCAGCAACATACTCGAGCAGAGTGCAATTCTACCTGCAATCAAAAGGGCATCTCAGATATATATATGTAACTCTTCTACCTGCAATGAAAAGGGCATCTCATATATATATATATATATATATATATAACTCTATACAAATCAATGAGAAAGGAAAATAAAGTATACCAATGAAGATTTGGGAGTAAAAAAGATTTACTTTTAGAATTCAGTGGAAACTAAAGCAAAAAGTCAAGTCTCTCCTTTAGAACTTTGGGCATCCTGCAAGGAATAATATCACATTGAAAGGTGAAATAACGAATTGGTGAAGTATGTATGCATTGAAGGTGAAATCATTTACTAATATTTTATCAGAAGCATATATATCTGCCTACTTTTCCTTCAATAGTGGCCTTTCTGTAGTATGTATCCTTGGGCTGAAACTCTTCAACATGAACAACCTATAAAGGATTTAATTAGTCTAGGAAAATACAGATTTAAAGGTTTTTTTTTATAGGAATTGAAGGCCTCGTTAAAGGAGCTTGTAGAGAAGCTCCTTCATCAGAGGAAGGAGGAAAAGAGTGCCTTAAGATTTCATTAAACAAAAGAAATTACATAAGATACAAACAGAGAGCCACCCCCAACAAAGACAAAACACCAGAAAACAACAGAATACAACCCTCCACAACAACACTAGCAGCCAAATCACCTCAGCTACACCAACAACTCCAAAAAGACAACCAGAACTTGGCCCGAAACATAGCACAACACAGTACAACTATAATAGAAGCCAAAATAACAGCTGACACAAACCATAGAAGCCAAATTCGATCACTAAAGCCATGAGCTTCCACACGATAAGAGTTGAAACAAAACAAACTTTGAGAAAACTCTGTCCGCCAATCTGCACTGATTACTCGACTTGACATCGATGACCAACCGAACCTCCAACTCCAAAATCAAAAATCATGTTCGAGTCCCCGAAAACAATTCACAACATATTGTATCTTTCAATACGTCCACTACTATAATGTTCCGAAAACAAAAACACTCGTGAGCCTTTAGACTCTAAACCCGTATCTTCCCCAAACTGTAGGGATTCTTTCGCTTCCTTCTTTTTCCTCTGCCACCTTGCATGAAAGTCAGAATCATATAGGATTCTACCTTCAAGTTCAGACAATTCTTCCTCACATTGCACCTTACTGTGATTAATCTTGTTGCGGCAGTCTCTAGACGTCCATTGGGGAGCCGAATATTTTCCTTGAACAGTTTGGAGAGAGCTGAAATTATTATTTCTCCCCTCCTTTGCTGTCCGGTTCTGCCTGTCCTCACCCTTGAAACTTTTGAATGCACCATTATTTTTAAGGCCCACATTACTCACATCCTCCACCACCTTTGTCTCTACCCGACCATCCAACATAGGGAATTCTATTAAATAATCCTTCATTCTCTCAAAAGCACGTGCAGTCTCACTACTTTTCCTTTTCTCATTTTCTGCCTCTCTCCGCGTGAACTAGTACATCCTCGTGTTCCACTATTTCCTTAATTTTCGATTGTACCATCCCCTGACCAACAACAATATTCCTCAGTTCCGTAATTAATTCCTCCCCTATGTTCCTTTCCTCCTCATCCTCACCCGACAAGTTGCTGCCTTTATTTCTGTTCCCCATACAACATAATAGATTGTCTTCTTCCTCATAACACCGCTTGGAATTCTTCTCCTCCGAAGAGTCCATGCTTCTTCTTGCTTCCTCAGCACATTCCTTCATCTCGGAAGTCTTTACTGGCGAGTCACCAACGAGTTCCCCCACCGTGGATAACAGGTAGGCAACTACCTTTTCCATCATGGACGAATCTACCCAGACAGATTCTGGGCTGAAACAAGGTTCAAACTCAGAAACATATACTGTAGAGTTCCGATCCCCGACTTTCAAATCTAAGTAGTCTTCCACTCGAGCTTGGCAGTTCGTAGTTATCTGAAACAATGCCCTATCAAACGAGCCGGGATTTAAGGTCCCTTCCTCAATGGAGATAAGTTCTCCCCATTTTTCTGCAATGTTTCAGAAGGTGGAATGTGATGTAGGGGGATCCGAGACAGATGATGCTGAGCTGTCAGATTACACCTTGATGGCGCTGAGATACCATGAGTTGGAAGATCAACGCAAAGGCAGGAGTTGATTGTGATATGTTCCTCATTGAGGCCGTTTTGAGTACGTTTCAGTCTTTTGGCCATAACTTTGGCTACAGGTGTCGGAATCGTGCATAAGACCCCAATTCGGAAAGCCTCTTTCGACGCGCACGCTGTCCACATGAGCATGGCTCCATGTGGCCTTTTTTTTACCTCAAATTATGCCATTTTCCCCTCCGAATCACTAGTTTTATTTATTTTTTACTATTTATGGTAATATTTCGCTTGTCAGATAGGAAATCATTTTAAATCCGATATGGGCCGGATTTTTTTGCATATTGCTTAATTTATTTCGAATTTCAATTTAGAGTGATTTCTGAGATTTTGTTATTTTTGGAAAAATTCGTATAAAGACTATTTTTGGCTATAACAGTCCGGCTTGTGGACTGATTTTGGATTGTTTGATTTTATAATATTCTGTTAAACCCTAGAGACTTTTTTTCCTCGGACTTTGGGCGAATTTTCTCTTGTGAATCATCTGTTGGAACTAGCCTGCAGGATAATCGCTATCCTGTCCGGCGTCAGAATGACTCCACACAAACGATGGGATTCCTTTGCACGAAAGCATTGCTCGACGGCTGCTGCACTGAAAATTTTCTGACCACACTTCCACTTTGAAAGCAGTTTCTCAACGCCCCAATCTGATTATTAAGAGAAAAATCCCTACTCTCTTCATCTTCAAAATGATTAAAATTGCTAAACCACTTAACCTCATAATTTTCGGACCTAACACGCCTTCCATATGCAAAAGAGCAGCCAACTCTTTCATTTTTAAAAATTTTCTGCACCAACCTACCAAGCTATTTCTGAGAGTTAAGAGCTTATCCTCGTCAACAACACCGACTATGGGAGCCTCTGAATGAGTATCAACCTCCACTTTACTCTTGACCTCGGCTGGTTTTGGACCAGAAAACTTCTTTCTCTAGAATTCTTCACGAGGTTGAAATCTCGCCATGAAAACTCTAATTTTAAAACCTTGAATCCAAGATATATCAGCACAGTTGATAGTCTTCCTCGCGTCCTCCAATATGGTGAAGCGAACAAAGCCAAACCTACTTCCTCCCATGCTTCTTTTATTAGGGATGAAAGAATCAACCACGTCGCCATATTTATCGAATAATAACTAAAGATCTTGATGATGAAGACACTTTGAGATATTGAAAATAATCACTGTAACGCAATTTTTCCCAACAGATCTTCTCACCTTACTCGTCATCTAATAGATATGAAAAGGGAAAAAGAAAGAATTTTTTGAAAACGCCTGATTTTTTAGAGAGAAAGATCTTCTCTCGCTAACTTTTTAAACACAATAGTTTGATATGTTATTAACTTGATTTAAAGGCTCTTTCTATAACAATGGATTGAGTGGTTGTCACTGCCTGCAATTTGTTAGCATTATCCATTGTTCTCGCAATTTGAAGGATTATGGCATGCCTTTTTTATATATATAAAATAAATAGAACACCTACAGAATATTTAGTTATTTGCAAAATTAATCCTCACGCAGTTGGTTGGCTGCTTCTGCCATATCGTTCTCCAGTTTCCCAAACCTACAATGGACAGTTCCTCTAAGCAAGGGAATGCCGCCTACGAAATTCACTTAATTGTGTCAATAACTTCATGAATCAGAGTAATGATATAAAGAAAACAGTAGTACAGCATGAAAAAGTTAATCAAATATTTTTGGGGAAAAAAGAAAATATATAATGAAAGAGAGAAAGAAATGATGCAGAGAAAAGAAACTAATGAAGTAATACCTTTTCATCGAAGAGAGTTGGAGAGGCAATCTCTGAGTTGTTTCCTTCTGCAGCAGAGATGAATGTTTTCAGTGTAGGACAAGTTTCGATACTAAGACTTGTCAACAAGGGGAATTCAAAGTAATTTCCATGGCAGAATCTCGTCAGTTTAGGAAGGTCTTTGAGCAATAGGAATTCTAGTACACGGAATGTTTTCTGATTCATCATTTCTTCTTTGGTTAATCCTTTCACAGAGATCACATTTTCCACATTGTAACAATTTTCGACCTTTAGCTTCTTGAGTTGCACAAAACTTTTCACCATAGAGCATGAAAACAGGCAGTTCAAATTATGACAGCCCTCGATTGTCAAGCATGTTATATTTTGGGCATAAGAATATGTGGCCAGAAGCTTGTGTTTCCAAACTCGCTGAATGTTGATTGAAGATAGCTCCAAATCCTCCAAGCTCGGAAAAACCTGCATACAGTATATATAGTCTTGAATGCATGAACAAACATTTCAATTTTTAATGAATGTACATCAATGATGATTGAAGCTAACTATTCATTACTGTTAACTACTCCAAGAATGTGAATCTATAAAGGCTAAAAGGACCAAAAGTTACCTGTATGCAAAGGGATTGATGGACTTTTAAAACTATATAAAAAATGTCATTTTGAACTGATTCATACCTTTTCTATGAACAACTGTTGAAGGATAACATTAAGGTCGCCTTCCCAGTGCCCTACATACTTGCCTTTAGTTGATTGTAGTCCATGCAACATCGGTGTGCTTAACTTCCCCTTTGTGAAAAATTCCATCTTTGGACACCCTCTGATGATTACTTCTTCCAAGGAAGGAAATGCTAAGGTATACTTCCCTGAGCAGAAACTTGATAGGATCGGTAGATTAACAAGTTCTAAAGAATTGAGTTGGGAGAAAACAATGCCATTCGTTATTTCATCAGTTGTTAAAACTATGATTTCTTCTAACATTTGGCAATATATAACACACATTCTTGTGAGTCGGGGAAAATATAGGTTTGGAAGTGCTCCATGGCATATCTCCTTCATATTGCTGTTCCGAATCACATGCAATTCTTCTAAATTGGGGAATGCTTCCTGAGAAATTAGGGGAAATGTACGTTCAATAAAAAATTGTCTAAACTGATGCCATATCCCCTATTATACCTCAATTTTATAGGTTCATCAATTAGGTCCAATCGCAAACTTCATCAAGACTGAATACATGTCACAAATTCTAACAGATGCATATGTATTTAGTTAGTGTTGTGAACTGTTACCTCAGTGACCCAAAACAGGGGTTGTTGAACAGGGATTAGAGGTTGGCTCTCTCCTTGTGTTTCTCCAAAGTTGATATACTCCCTAGCCAAATTCTCTACCTTGCTACAATCACTTACCGCCAATAATTTTAAGGATGGCCATTCCGTAGTATGCACCTTGGAGTAGAAACCCTTCAACTTGGGTAGCACTCGAAGATACAACTCTCTCATTTTAGGAAACACAAACTTGGTGATTGATTTGAGTTCGATCAATTGGGCGGATGTCACTGCGTGTGACTCATTGGAATTGCGTAAGTGATCGTCATCAGGTCCAATTATTTCTTCAACCGACTTACCTTCATCTATTGCCAGAGTTTCTAGCTTTTCAAGTCTTTTCACCATACTAAAAGGTAAAATATTTGAAAGTCTTTCACAGTCTTTCACCCAGAGCATGGTCAATTCATTAAATGAATTCATAGTGGGTTTATCGTGCCATATCTTTCTGCACTTCCCGATGCCTTGAATGGTCAAATGGATCAAGTTAGGGAACACAACCTGCGGAAATTATTTAAGTAAGAGGTGTCGTTAAAAACTCCCTTCATAGTTGTCCCTTTTCACGAAAGAAAGGAAGAGGAAAAGAGTACCTAAAAATGTAGAGGATATAAAAGGACACCACACAAAAAAACAAGGAAGAAAATCACCTTTTGGTTGAAGAGGGTTGGTGAATCAGTCTCTGAGTTTTCTCCATGACAGAATGTCCCTAATTTTGGAAGCCTACTGAGCTCCAATAGATTTAGTTTAGTGAACCAGTAAGCCTCAGTTATCCCTTCTTCTTCTGCTGTTGCTTCATCTGTAAAGATCACTTCTAAGTTGTCGCAATCGACAAGGCTAAGTTGAACGAGTTCCACAAAATTTTTGACTAAAAACGGTGGAAATATATATTCCAAATTGTGGCAACCCTCCACAATTAAGATTTGCAACTTATGAACACTAGAGGATATAGCACCGAGTGGTTCATCTGGCCATAAATTTTGGATGTTAGTGGACGATAGCTCCAACCCTTCCAAATTGGCACACAAAACCTGCAACCATTCAAGTTCAACAGCAGGAAACAAAACAATTTAAACTATAAAGTAATTAATTTTTTAGAAAGGTTCAATTCAAGGAACTAATTTTTAATTAATTGTTGGCATACTTATATCTTAAAGCCCATACCCTGGGATAATTTTCTTTCTATTTAAAAAAATCTAGAAATTAAAATAGTGATTTGACTACACAAATTTCAAAATGCTAATTCCAAACCTATCCCAAATCAATTTAAGAGATTATAACACTAAACGGAGAGAAGAGAAGAGAAGAGAGTGACCTTATCATTGAAAAAGGGTGTGTTTTCGCCATCTCTTGTACATGTCATTGCATACATCATTGGACAATCATCTACTTTAATTGTATGCAATGATGGACATTGCAGAGTTATATTTCCCATGCAAAAACTTTTCAACTCTGAACATGACTCCAGTCTTATCATCTTAAGATTTGGTAGGAAGACTGTATCCATCGCAGATTCCTCTGCTTCTTTCTTGATAATGTACTCCATCATGGGACATCTCTTCACTGTTATATGTTCCAATTGCACAAGTTCCAAGGCCATGGAAACGCTAAATATGTATTTCAAGCTATTACACTCCTCCACTTCTAAATCTTGTAGGTTCTTGAAATCTACACTTTTCTCCTTCCATATTTCCATCGACTTGGAAAATTCGGATAGGATCAAATACCCGTTGCCTTGGTACCCAACCTTCATAAAGTAATCAAGCAGAGAAACAAGGGTTAAACTTCATAAAGCATTCAAGGTTACCACTAAACAACACGAAAGAAAGAACGAGATTATGAATACCTTTTTTGAATGCAATTGTTGGACAGTGCTGTCAAGGTCATCACTCCAATGTTCTTTACCTTCTCCATATTCTACACTTTGCAACAACGGCGCATTTAAAACTCCCTTACAAAATAACTCCAGCTCAGGACAGCCACTCACTATCACTTCCTCTAAACACGGGAATCCAAATGTGTGGTTGCCTGAACAAAATCTCTTAAGTCGTGGTAGACTCACAAGTTCCAAACTTTTCAACCTGCTGAATATAATGTCGCACGTTGCTTCATCTTCCCCACTTCCAACTATTTCCTTCATTGAAATGCATTCTCTTATGATCAATTGTTTGAGTTGAGACAGACCCTGCACTGCTAGACATGTATCTAAGTATTTCATTCCTTTGCAACCCCACACCTTCAAGGTGGTGATATTTTGAAACGATGTTGAGGATGATCCTAAGCTCATCAGATTCCAACAATTGTTAACTTCAAGAGTTTCAAGGTTGGGTAGAATGCGGTCCACTTGCACGTCTTGCTTCCATAAGCTATGTTTTAGTTTATGAAGCTGTGTCAGTTCTATTTTTCTAATTGTTGACAGTGTCCTATCATACATCCCCTTATTACCAGTATCTCCTTCGGTATAGAATAACTCCTTGATTTCACAAACAGAGATACAAAGCTCTTCTAGATTGTAGAATCTTTCAAGGAAAGAAATTTGGAAATCATTAACAAATTTAGCCCTGTTGCCTTCCACCCTAAAAGCTTTTATTTTATGGAAAAGGTTGTTTGGCAATTGACCACCGCTTATCATTGCAATGTAATCAGCACCGATTTGCAGGCGTTGTAGTTTAGGGATGACCTGAAAACCAATCAAAAAACAATTTTGGAGTCACTATGTTCATCTTCCTATATTAAGATTTAATATTTTAATTTAAAATAAAGCAGAACATATAGAGTGGGAGCGAGAGGGTTATACCTTTTCAACCAAGAAAAGTGGTGGTTGGGAGTCAAGTTGTTGGTTGTGAGTGACGAGTTGTGTACCAAATATCTTCATTTCCCCGCACTCGGCTGCTGTTACCTCTTTTAACATTGGCCACTTTGTGGTATGCCTACCTGGGTAGAAACATTTGCATTCTGGTAGCCACCAAAGCCTAAGGTAGGACAGCTTATCAAACTCGAAAGTGACAGTAGTTTCCGAATCCAATCCTTCCTCTACTTTGGAAATAATCTCCTCCACTCCACAGTTAAATATTGCAAGATCACTGAGTTGTGGGAGGTCTCTGGCTACTGAGGCTGGAAATACATTCTTCAGACTCTTACAAAACCCCACAGATATTTGATGTAGATTTTTAAATGAAAAAATGTCTTTGGGACCGTTTTTCCAAATATATTTCAAGTTTGATAAATTTGTAATGCTGATTACTCTTAGTTTGGGAAATGAATTTGGTGGAAGTGGGTTCTCCCATATCATCTTCAACTTTTCCAAATGGCGAGCCCACACTCTCTCCAAACTGGGAAATGAAACCTGCACTCATCATGTCAAAATAATGAAATTAAGAGCTAGCTCTACAAATACATATATGATTACATATACATACAAGTAGAGTCGAAGCTTCAAACTTATTGTCGAACAGAACGTGATTTGATAATATATAAAAATCAAGAATTTAAGAATGCTAAAAATAATAATTAAGCTACCTTATTGTCGAATAGAACATGATTAGAAAAGCATTGGTTGCCTTTCATTGAAGATCTGTATATGAAACCCTCCAATTTTGGACAGTTGTATATTCTCAGTGACTTCAAGGTCGAAAATTCAATAACTTGAGTTTGGTAATCGGAGCAAAATCCAATCAGATGCTGAAGATCAGTTAGCTCTAAGGACTTTAACCGAGGAAATAATGATAAATTTATACCAGTTTGGGTTTCTTCTTCTATTTCCTCCATGAAAATGATCTCTCTTAAGCTATAGCATCTAATTATCTCAAAGTTTGTGAGATGCACTAGACATTTAGCCATAGAAAATGAGAACAGGTGTTTTAAGCTTCCACAACCCTCGATTTTTAATGTTGTCAACTTCTCATAAGTGCTGAATGATGTACTCGAAAGTTGGTTGTGCCATACCCTTGTAACATTAATCGACTTCAGCCACAAATTCTCCAAGTAAGGGAACGATATCTACAACCATACAAATGATTTCAGGAAATATTTGAAATAAAAATTTAAAAGACATTGAATTGTAAATACCTTTTCATTGAAAAGTGGCAACTCATGTTGAGGTAATGAGCTAGTAGCACCGGTTTCGTGTTGAGGGAAAAAGCTAATGAGCTTAGGAAGATCATGTAGTGTCAGGGACCGTAATTGAGGAAATTCAAATTCATCATTAATAATGTATTCAGTATCCAAACCATTTTGGATATGTAGATTCTTCAAATGCGATATGCTTTCTTCCTCTGTTAACTCCTGCAATGCAATCTTCACGCCTTTGAGTTCACCCAAATGTAAATCTTCAGTTTTTTTCAACAACTTCTTAATTCCAAGATCCAAATCATCCATGCCCGTGTTTAGCCTCAGTTTTAGGGTTCTTGAATATCGATACTTGCCAAACCGCTCCCACTCCCATTCCTCTCCTATGAAAATCTTGTATCTTTTCAACTTCTGCAACTCCTGAAAGAAGTCGTGTGGTGCCGCCTTAGCATCTGGGATTTGAACTTCTAAAGTGGATAAACGAGACAGTGCATGCAGATCAGCAAGAGTGACACTGCTTTGTCCCCATTGAATAGAAGTCCCACCCATATATAATTCTTCTAATCTTGACAAACTTGACAACACGCCGTCTGAAATTGTTTTGAGCATAGCACAGCGACTAACGTCTAACAACTTTAGCTTCACCAGTTGCCCAATTTCTTTTGGTAGAAATGTAATATCAGATTTCAAAAGGCTAAGAATTTCCAAGTTGTTGAGCTTTCCAATAATGGTAATATTATCTCCCAGCTTGCAGTAATCTAGGCACAACGTGCTGAGGCTTGTTAGTTTACAAATCGATGAAGGTAAAGAAGAAAATTGAATACTAGCCAAATCTAAGACATTAAGATTTGTTGCTTCCTTGAAGAAGTCATCCGGTAATGTCAGGGAAAGATCATTGCTATACAAAAGGAAAAGAGAAAGCTGTGGACAATTCAAATTGTCAGGAAGCCTGTTGATAGTAGGATATTGCAAACAAATCTTGCTGCACTTCTTCATTGACTCCGCATCTGGCCAATCTATTAGAACATCCTCCTCTCTTAAGGCAAACACCTGATTGTCCTTGGAAGCCATTGATTTGGCCACAATATAAGTAAGATCATGCACATCAAAGCATTCATCATTAGTGTTACTATCAAGCAACAAACAAGATTCTTTCAGGGTACTCATCATTGTTAACAACGCATCCCGTCCTTCTTTCATGGTCTCTACTCCATTAATTAAACCCAAACCTATTGTATATCTCAACAAATCTTCAATGTTACTATCACGATGCAATAGACTGCAAAGCAGGAAAACCTTCTTGAGGTCTTCACCCCGTAAATTATTGATACTCAATTCAATAGCAGAATATACCTCAGCAGATATCTCGCTCGGGTTTTCTGAGTAATGCCTTTGTAGTTGTCGTAAAGCCTCATTCCAAACAAATAAACTTTTTTTTTGCAACGCCCTAGCAACTGTGGCAATGGCAAGCGGCAATCCTGCACATCTTTTGGCTACCTCAATTGCTGTAGATTGCAGCTCTTTATCGCTTTCAAAACTGTCCCCAACCATCTTCTTAAAAAACTCCCAGGCTTCTTTTTCATCTAAATGACGAAGCTGAAAAGTCATCGTAGCGCCCATCCCATTGCTTAGAACATTTTCATTTCGTGACGTCAACAGTATCTTGCATCCTTTGTGTTGACTTCCAAATGGAATTCCGACTTCCTCTAGGTCCAGTTTCTTCCAAATATTATCCAGAATAATAAGAACCCTCTTCTCCTGATTCTTCCCTTGATTTAACCTTTCAAATAATCTACTGGCTCTTACAACTGTACTCTTTTCTTCGATCTTCAAACCCAACGATTCTGCTATTTCGTCTTGGATTTTCTGAATGTCAGGTTTCTGAGATACAGTGACCCTAACCACTGAATTGAACAACTTAGCCTCCTGGAGTTGTCTTTCAACTTCTTTAACTAGTGATGTTTTCCCCACTCCAGGCATCCCGTACACTCCAATCATGCTGGCAGTAGAATCTTTCAGGGATTCCATGATATCATTGAAAACCCTTTCCCTTGATTGAAAGGCCTCAAAATTTGTATCCACTATGAGTTGTGGAAGATCATGGTAGCCCACGCTGTTAAATTGACATTCTTTGATAAGCTCATCAAAAGCAGCGGCATCTTCTTCCGCTTTCCTGCTAAGCTTGTGTCGACACTTGATGTTGGGACAGAAGCCAAAGAAGCACTTGTTGATTGCTTTGACTTGAAGATCCTTCACTTTATCCTCCTCTTCGGCGATAACCTTGTCCACTCTATCGCACCAACCTTGCACATCCGCTTTAATCTTCTGCACGTTCCTTTCTGCAACAACAATATCTTGCTGCACGCTTGATCTTTTGTCAATCAACCTCTGAAGTTTGTCCTCGAAATTCTTGACGTATCTCTGGTAGAAAACTACATATCTGATATGACGTTTTGCGTCATGAAAGATACCCTTTGCAGTTTCAGAAGAGATATTGGCAGCAGCACCAGTAGCAATTGCTTCCATTTTTTTTTCTTTTTCTTTGGGGGAGGTTCGAATGGAAAGCAAAACAAACAAAAAATGAACAATGGATACAATAAAGGAGAATCAAGAAAGAAAATACTGAGAAGAAGCAGGCAAGAAAGAACAACCTTCAAAACAGGGAATGAATGAGACGAAGGTTAATAGGTAAAACTTAACGATGAAATGAAAATTTTGCTGAACACCCACTCGGAAAAACTGAATTTCCAATCAAATTCAGTAACCCTTGGGCTGAATGATTTCTTTCATAATATTGAATCAAATCAGGTAGAGAGATAGATTAAAAAAAGACTTTAGTATTTTTTTTATTGTTTAGTGGATGTTTGTTTGCACCAAAAGTCTTGAAAATATCACAAGCTCACATGCCAGTCATTTACCAAAAGTCTTGAGAATATCACAGCTCACATCGATTTTATAAAAAATTGTTATCTTTCTTGTTTTGTTTGGTATATAAAATTGTCAGATTCTTTGATGGATTTGTTTAATTTCATTCGATAATTTCGCATGTGGAAAAGTGAGAATGGGAGGAAGTTTATGCATTATTACTTGGTGGAAAGTTGGGAGAAAATAAATTTATAAATATTTTTAAAATTATGATATGTATTTTTAAAAATATATGTTAAAAATTTTAGAAATAAATAAAATATTTATCGTTATTTAATAATTGTTTGTGGAATTATTTTTCTTAGATTGTATATTAAATGCTATTCCAAAATGTATATAATATATATAAAATGCCTTTTTAATATTTTACCTAATTACTTATTTTACAAAAAATATAATTATAATATTATAATAAAAATATATATTTTAATCAATATAATAGATATATCAAGTAAATTAAAAAAATGCATAAATGTAATTATATTTTTATATGTAATTATAAAACTTTAAATTTATATAAATGTACAAATTGAATTAATTAATAGAAAAATAACATTTATTAAATTGATCTCTATCATTTTATTTTTTATTAATCATGAAATATATTATTGAAATATTATAATGATTTTTAAAAATTGTAAAGATAAATTATTATTTGGTAGTTAAAGGAGTAATATTTTATTTTAAAAGTTCTGTGTTCGATTAACTATGACCAGGGACAAAGCTATGTGTAAGGTTGGGGCACTTCCCCCAAGTTTTTTATTTTTAAAAATTATATAAGGATAAACATGTATTTAGACCTTAAAATTTTAGTTTATTTTGATTTTGTCTCTCATTTTGGTTTATTTTGATTTTACCCTTTTCATTTTCCTTTGTTAGTTACATCTTGTCCTCTTGAATTAGAATACTGACTCTGTCTCTTGCTGTGTCTGCAAGGTGTGTATCAATATATATGTTATCAATGACTAAAAAAAGATTCTAAATAAATATTATCTTATAATTATCTTAAACTACTAAAAAAATATTGAAACATAAAGTACTTCTAAAATTTATTATCAATTGAACCCAAAGGAATAGCTTCGTTGGTTGTAGGCGTTTTATCCCATAAGTAGGGGTGAGCATTTGATCGAGTCGAGTAAAAAAATTTGAATTATTTGAGTTGACCAGTCTTATTTTATAACTCAAACTTAACCTGAAATTTTTCGGGTTCAAGTCGAATTATTAGAGTTTCTATACAAACTTAATTGTAATTATTTATAGTATTATAGTACGTTTTTATTTTAATATTTTGACTTTCTCTTACCATATATATATATATATATATATATATAATTTTTTGACTTTCTCTAACCATATATATATATATATATATATATTTCTTCATATTCTTTTCACATTACAATGTTATTTAATATATCACATACAATCTAAAATTATAAAATATATTTACAATATTATATTTCAAAGAAGGTATTTTGAGGATAAAAGACTAATGGGAGTATAAAGGAGTCAAAGAATTGATGTTAAAAAATAATTTGTAAACAATTGTAGTCAAAAGACTAAATTGAGTAAAATGCAAAGTTAAATAACTAAATTAAAAAAAGAGAGTATATTTTTATTAAAAAAAATAAAAATTGAAGTTACATAGATATTCTATAGTGGTATGAGAGCATGTGGTTTAAATTTGGTAAAAAACGTACTTAAAATGAAGGATGAATTGAAGAAATACGAAAATCATGCACAATTGAGGGATTAAATTGAAAAAAATAGAAAATTTGTTATCAAAAGTGAAATTGAAAGTACATATGTATTTTATGATGGTTTAAGAGCATGTATTTTAAATTTGGTAAAATTTTAACTTAAAATGAAGGAGGAATTGAAGGAATAAGATATCAGAGAACAAATCGCAAATTAGTCAAAATACTCATTCAAATTTTTAGTTTTTTGAGTTACTCAAAATTTTGAAATTTCAACTCGACTCGAACTCGAAAATTAAAATGATAATTCGGGTTGACTTGAATAACTCAAAATTGGAATTAAAAAATCGATTTTTCAAGTAGAGTCAAGTTTTACTCACCCTTAACCATAAGAGGCATGGGTTCAAGCAATAATGAAGTATAGGCGCGTGTAATATATGAAAATAAAAATCAATTATCATCAAAAATTGAAAAATATAAATAAGGAAAGAAACACTAAGGATTTCTCCACTCTTAATCAATTATTATTATCTTTCTTTGATTTTAATTTAATAAAAAAATTGAAAAGTATAAATAAAGAAAGAAAGACTAAGGATCTCTCAAGTATTTATCAATTATTATTATATTTCTTTAATTTTAGTTTAATCAAAAATTGAAAAGTATAAATAATAAAAAAAAAGACTAAGGACCTCTCAAATATTTATCAATGATTCTTACTATGTTTCTTTGCTTTTAGTTTAGGCTCAGATAGCATAAGTCCTTATTAACCTTGTCCAACCTATCGCACCAACTCTGGACATCTGCTTTAATCTTCTCCACGTTCCTTTCTGCAACAACAATATCTTGTTGCACGCTTGATCTTTTCTCAACCAACTTCCCAAGTTTGTCCTCGAAATTCTTAACGTGTCTCTCGTAGAAGATACCTTTAGCTACTTCGGAAGAGATTTTGGTAACAGCACCAACAACAATTGGATCCATTTCTTTCTTTCTTTTTTCTTTGGGGGAGGTCCGAATGGAAATCAAAATAAACAAAATGAACAATAGAGAGACAATAAAAAGAACCAAGAAAGAAAATACTGAGAAGAAGCAGAAAAAGAAGTATCTTCAAAACAGATAATGAATTAAAGGAAAGGTTAACACTTGACGGTTGATATTGACAATGAAAATTGAAGAGGGAACACATACAGAACCACCTATAAACGCTGTAACAGCCAAGGATGATATTTACTCTCCTCCATTCAAAACATTTTTTTAAATAAAAAATATAATGGTAATTATAATTTTAACATTTTGTTTACTGTCATTTTAATGCTCATTATTTTTGTTTAAATTTAACTTTCACCTTTTTAACCATTTGCCAAGTCTTCCGATCAGTTTGGATTTTGGAACATAACCCCACCCAATTCATAATAGACAAATTACGTGCCAAAAATTCAACAATATCAAAGCTCCTCCGAATACATACGGACCACAACCCCACTAGATTCATAATAGACAGATTTAGGTGGTGTTTGTTTTTGCAGAGGTAAAAAGTCTGCAGTCTGCGAACCACATCTGTAGGCATCTGCAGCAGAAGAGGTGGACCAAAAGTCTGCAATCTGCAAGAAGAAGACTGTTTGTTTTTTAACGTCTGCAGACTGCTAAAATAAACTGAAATATAAATAAATTGATTTTTTAAACTTAAAAGAGTTTTGCAATACTGAAATTTAAATAATTTTAGTTTTATAATAATGAAATTTAAATAATCCATACAACTACAATAATAAATTTTTTTAAAATAAATCAATACATATTTTAAAATAAATCAATCCATGTTTAAAATAAAATTTTCCATATTTTAAAATAAATCAATCTATATTTTAAAATAAATCAATCCATATTTTTAAATAAATCAATCAATATTTTAAAATAAATCAATCCATATTTTAAAATAAATCAATCCATATTTTAAAATAATTTTTTTTCATATTTTAAAATAAATCAATCCATATTTTAAAATAAAATTTTCCATATTTTAAAATAAATCAATCCATATTTTAAAATAAATCAATCCATATTTTAAAATAAATTTTAAAATAGATTTAAATAATTTTAATTTCTTTGAAGAGGTTTGAAGACCTTTGAAGACATAAAATCATGTCTGCACCAAGAAGACCTCGCGCATACGTTAGAAGAACTTCTGTCTTTTAAAAAATAAACGGTCTGCGAAGTCCAATATATGTGCGTGGTCTGCGCGGCGCAGACATAAGAGCTTTGCAGACTTTACATAGTAAAAACAAACACCACCTTACTCACCGTCTAGTCAATAACTACAGCTGTCATTGATTTGATGCGACGGAACCACCACCATTGTCGCTATGATTTCTTGTGACATTGTTGACCTCAAGTAATTCTTCAATAATTTCAGCTTTGAAAAACTTTTTTCTGCGGATGCTACCATTACCGGCATTATTAATAAGATTCGATAAGCAATTGAAACATTAGGATAACAATCTCTAGCTTTAACAAACTCAAGAACTTCAAGCACTGACATGAATACATTTGGCAAAGTCAATTGTAACACTTTATTTTCAGGAAAAAAAATCATCTGCATCTACATCTGACAAATTATTATGAGAAAAAATAATCTTAAAATTATTACAACATTCTTTTAATAAGTCAATAAGAAATAAGTTTATGGGCCATGCTTTTAATTTAATTTATTAATATTTATGGGCTCTGCTTTTAATTTAGTATATTAATATAGTTTTTAACGTTATAATGAGAACAATAAGTCAATAAGAAATAAGTTTAAGGGCCCTCTTGCATTAATATAAGAAAATAGTATATTAATATTTATGAGCCCTATTTTTAATTTAGTCTATTAAAATATAATAAATTAAAATTATGGGCCCTGGGCGGGTGCCCCTCTTGCCCCTGCCCAGAGTCGGCTCTGCGTTAAGTTCTAGTTTCATTTTGGTCAATCATAGTTAAAAAGTTAACATTGATACTTACGTGTTACCATAACAACGGGTAAATACCATGTCATCATTAAAAAAATTACCACATCAACATTTTTGTTAGTTTTTTGACGATAAGTGACCAAAATGAAACTAAAACGTAACTATTTTTTAAA